TTAAGAAAAATACTCTTGCTCAATTTTCAAGTCAATCTTTGAGTTTTATATAAGGGTTGGGCTTAGGCTTAAGATATACTCCTGATGGTGAGATCAGTTAGGGCTTGGGCCTGAATAGTCAAAGCCTGGCCCATGAACTGATGCTGTGTTTGGAAACGGTGTAAATGCTGGTTCGGTGCATTATTGCACCCCGGTCCTGATTTACTTGTATTTGGGAACAATGTGAAAATACCGCTCAAGATCGAAGTAAACTTGCAACCTCGTCAGAGTTTACTTCGATCTTGAGGTGAAAAATTCCTTCGATTTTAACGAAGTAAATATTCATGCCTTTTTTCATCGATGGAAATAGATGAAGAGTTTACTCCCTCATCCACTAGAACACATCAGTGACACTGTGTGACGGCTAGTTCCGATTCACAAAATCTACCATCGACAAGTGATACGTTCGGTCTCTAGCATCTGAGATCTGATCAGTAGTAATATTTCATCATTCGATTTGATAATCTGGTGAGGTTCCCTACTTTGTTTGCAGAGCTTCTTTTTTCTTCAGCACGCTTTATTTCTTCCATTACTACCATTAATCTCTGTTTGTGTTCTAATCAGCTCTTGATACCGGTGATAGGAAAGAGTGGTGGAGATGTAAGATTAGTGGTCAGAAATGTCTAATTCCAGCGAAGTGGAGATTGAAGTTTCTGATTGGTTCCAGACCTTGACCGAAGACGTCATCACCCGAAGACGAAGACAGGAAGGCAGTTTTCCGGCTACATTGTTATAAGTTTCCAAATACCAGCAAAAGTGCACTGCTGTTTTACATCGTTGCTGCCAAATGAGACGAGAGGAAATCAAACGTACAAAAGCGAACAAAATAAAAACTATCTGAATTCCTCAATTATCTTTCTTAATAAGAAAGGAAAAAAATATTATCGTTGCCGACAAACAGGAAATTGCCTTCGGTTAGATACAAGGAAGAGTATTCTTGACTGAGTGTACGTTTCTTATATCTTCCCAATGGTGATTTCCCTCCTACTGGCAATGGTAAAATATTTTCTTTCTCGTTAAGAAAGAGAAATAGAAAGTCAATCTATAGTTTTCCATTTTGGTAATCAGTGTTTCTCTTAGATTTTCAAAAGAATACAAGAGCAACTGGTTCCTGCCTCTCAAAATTTTGTCTGGCTTTCCATTTTGTGAAGGTTTCCTACCTCTCCCTTCCTTTCCCAACTTTTTCCTTCAAACCAAGCACAACTTTAGGTTTTTTTCTTCTTTCCTTTCATGGAATATCAATAAAGATAGGCGAATTGGGGGAACGACACACAAATTCAATTTTTTGGGGAAGTTGAATGAAGAAAGTATAGAGAGAAATGGGTACCTGTTAGTTTTGTTGAAACGATTGGAAACTGTGATTGAACAACAAAAGTTCTTGTTTTACAATTAAACCAAAGGTGATGACCTTTCCCTATTAATTCTAGATCCTGTTTTTGCCTTTAGATTGATAAGTGATTTTCTTATTCTATGTCGTAGTTATTTGAATAACATGACCAGGTCTCTATTTGTCATTAACAGATTTCATCTGAAGATGGCGTAGTCAAAACTTGATTCAGAGTCCATAGAGCACCGAAAGGCCCAAAAAACATTTATGAAGAGAATGCAAGGGCTAAAGAAGGAAAATGTATGAGCTCACCACACGCTATGATATTGAGGGTTTCATAATTTGCGTCAATGACCTTCAATAGTGCAATGAAGACAGTGCCACCGAGCTTATTATGTAGCTAGAGAATGTTATCAGAGCTCTTCGGCTGGCGCCCAGAGGGCTGTCGTTGCCTTCGAGCAATGGTGAACTTGTTGCTCTAGAAGGACCTCAAGGCTAGCTCTCAAGAACCTCTTTTTCAATTCTTCCCAGTCTTCTCATGTGGCATCTTCTGTTTATGTGCTGTCCCACTGAGTTAAAATGTGTACAATGGGTTGGTTCCCTCTTTTCAAAAGTTCCTATCAAGTATTGCAACCGGGTGGGGCTGGAGTCTACCATTGGACCGAAGAGGGGGTAATGTTGGGCTGGTGGTACAAGAAGAGCCCAGCTTCTTCTTAAGATAAGAGACATGAAAAACTGGGTGTAGTTTACACCCCTCTAGTAAATCCAACCTATAAGCAACTAATTTGATATTTTCTGTCACCTTAAAAGGCCCATAGTACCTTGCTACTAACTTTTGCAAGTTGTGCATGGACAAACTGCTCTACTTATAGGGTTGAAGCCTTGGGAAGACTTTGTCCCCTACTTGGAAGTTGGAAGGTTCTTTCAGATCACCTTTTATCTGCCATGGTCTTCATATGGTTTTGGGCCTGATTCAAATTTGACTTCAATGATGCCAGAATCGGATCCCTCTCAATTAGCTCTTCTTCTACCGCTTGTATCCTTACCGCACCCGGAACATAAATAATTAGAGAGGGAGGAGGTATTCCATAGACCACCTGAAATGGGATAAACTGAGTGGTAGAATGGTATGTGGTCTTATACCACCATTCGACCAATGGTATGTCTCCAATGTCTAGTTGAGCACTTCAGTATGCTCGTCAGTCTAAGGATGGTAAGAAGAACTTATGCACAATTCGGTACCTTGAAGGCTCCACAACTCCTTCTAAAAATGACTAGTAAATGTTGCATCCCAATCACTTACGATGGATGTGGGCATTCCATGGAGCTTGAATACACCATTCAAAAAGACCTTGACCACCTCTTTAGTTGTATACGGGTGTGATAGTGGTAAGAGATGGCCATATTTGGACAACTTGTCAACTACCACTAGGATCGTGGACTTATTAAGTAAAGTAGGGAGGCCTTCAATAAAGTCCAATGCGATATCAATCATATTCTCTCTGGTATTGGCAGAGGGTGTAGCAGCCCAGGTGTGTGCACATTTTTTGACTTGCTTCTTTAGCAAATGTCACATTGTTGGATCCACTCCTTAATCTCCTTCCTTAGCACCCTATGGAGGGTGTTGTGAAATCCTAAATGCCCCCTGGGGAGTGGTGTGCTTCCTCAAATACTTTCCCCCTGATTTCAGAAGTTGGGCTGAGAACAATTCTACCCTTTTTCTACAGAAGCCCATGTTTGAGTTGATAATGGGCTTTAGTGCCTTGTTGTAGGAGTGGTGTACTTCCTCAAACACTTTCCTCCTGATTTCAGGAGTGGTGTGCTTCCTCAAAAACTTTCCTCCGGATCGATGGATGTTTCTTTTTTTACTTCTTCTATCCAGTCTGGGATGGGTGATGAAATGGCTATCAGTTCTTCATCTGCTCTCCTTGACAACGCATCTGCTACCACATTTTCCCTTCCCCTCCTAGTGCATACCTCATAGCTGAACCCTATAAGTTTGTACCGATGTGTGTATTCGTTGTTGTAGAATGAACCTCAACCTTCTGTTGTCCATCATGATTTTAAACTTAGCTCTTAGTAAGTAATGCCGCCATTTAAGCATAGGTGAACCAATGGCCAACAATTCTTTATCGTAAGTGGAAATACCCATATTTTGCCTTGCAATCCTTTACTAAAAACTACTATGGGGCGGTTCTGCTAAGAGAGAACTGCTCCGATACTTGTGTCCCATGCATCACTTTCTACCATGAATTCTTTGGTGAAGTCTAGAAGGACCAGAACCAGGCCTGTAATCATGGCCTGCTTGAGTTAATTAATGGCACGATGTGCTTGTTCATCCCATCTCCATTCTCCCTTCTTGAGTAGTTGAGTGAGTGGACGAGCTATAATTTCATCATCAGTCCCAAGAATCCTCGTAGTGCCTTGTTGGGGCCCATTGACATTCCTTGGGCCGATATGATGTGGCCCAAATAAGCCACTTGGTCCACCGCAAATTGATACTTGGCAAGCTTGGCATAAAGTTGATGCTTCTTGAGAAGACCCATAACAATATTTAAATGCTAGAGGTGGGCTTATAGATCTCTCTACTATAAATCAAAATATCATAAAAAAACACCAAGTCAAATTGTCGCAAGTATTTCTAAAAAATCCCATTCATCAAAGCCCGGAAAGTAGATGGGGCATTGGTAAGCCCAAAAAGCATATCATATCAGTATGGTCTCACATTAACGGGCTGGGTTCCCTCAGTCAGATTTATTGCATGGTCATGGGCTCACTGTGGGGGTAAGCCCACAGGTTCTTGAAACACCTCTGGAAATGATTGTAATATTTCTTGGACTGAGGGTATCGACCAAAGCAACTAAAGGGTGTTGAAATCACGTATCGGATAACCTCATGATTTGAGAGGATTTGGTGCCCGTAATAGCATGTAAGGATATTTCTAGTACCATTTCTACAGCTTCTGGCTCACTCAAGTGTTCCCCTTCTGCCCCTTCATCTTCCTCTGGTCCAACTATTCACAACAAATTCTGAACCTTGCATTTGTGTGTTGGGACCCATACCTCATGGCTCTTCTTTGCCTGACTTTCGATGGGGCTAGCCTTCTCACCTCTAGAGTTCTGAGTTGTCACCAAATTCAGTCCCAAAGGAGGGGGTATTCTGGGTTTTGGAGTTTCAAACCTAGTACTGGCCCTCCTCCTTGTTGTCCACTCTTCCTCTAAGCTAGTTTCATAGCTCTAGTGAGAGTGACTGGCTCGAATTTTTCAACTCCAGCCCTCAGTTCCGGTTTCAATCTTACCACAAAACATCCCACCAAATGTTCCTCTGGTATCCCTCGGACCAGGTTTCGATTGGATCTGTCCAAATCAAAACCAATTTGAACAGGTTGTATGGTCCAATAGGTCCAAAGTTTTTATTAGATTGAATAGGACCTGGTCCATATGTAATGGACTCATATTGGACCAGGTCGGGTTGGACCAATATTTGGTCCATTGACAGGTGACAGCCGTATCAATTTAGTTAGATTATATATGTATAGACACAAGCTGATCTTTAGGGGCGATTTCCAATCCTAGATAGAATGAATTGAGAAAAGTATTTTTCTTTAAGCACTTCGTGTTTTGCACGCCTTGAATCAAATAATATTGATTTGCCATATGCATAGTAATATTTATCAAGGAAAACATCCTTTAAAAATCTAAGAGAATTTGTCTCTTATTACAAGTCTACAAATATACAAACCCTATACAGAGCAGAGTTGCACAAGGATCAGCTCACAGAAGGGAAGTGCTATACAACTCAGTTCGTTTTTTAGGTCAATAAATCAATCAGTAAGCTCCATTAGGCATATTTTATCAGCAGAGCAAGCATTCAAGGAGCTATATATAGAACAATGAAATTCATATGAATTAGGAGAGTCAGGCACGATATCAACCCATTCCTTCTCCACCTTCTCAACATGTGAATTTTGTTTTGCTACAGTATAGAACTGGAGTTTATCCAATTGTCTTGTAATCTTCTCCAGAAACCTCATGGAGAATATCATGTCGAAATCTTCTCTACCATCTTTGCCGCTGTTGAAGATTCTGATACCTATATCTGCTTTGCAGGAATCAACAAGCCCAAAAAATAAAGGATGACCAAGAACAGATTGCTGAACCAAGCTGCAAACCTGAATAGAAAAAAAAAATGCACATTTATAGGTTAAAAAAGTTCAAATCACAATTTAAAATCTCAAATAAACGCAAGGCAGTGTTTATATTTGTTAAGTGCACATGCTATGCACGAATGCAAGTGAAAGGTAAAGATATAAGCTGACATTATATAATCAAATTTAACTTTTATGACCTGCACCAAAACCAAGGCAAGTATCCTCATTATAATAGTATAGATAAAAGTTTTTGCTTGCTCATTTAGTAGGAAACAATATTTGATTTTCCACTATATCCAGTAATGCATGGACACAAACACCGGAGTCGGAATCCAATGCATCTAATAGTCTAACAAGGAAAGATGAAAAATCATAGACTTTCAGACACATCTATGGGAAAAGTGTGCGTGTGTGTGTGCATCATCATCATCATCCAAGCTTTACCCCAACTATATGGGGTTGGCATTTGTTAACAGGAATTCTGTCTTGCCATTCTGTTCCGTTTAATGCCATATCCATAGTTAAATTATGGGCACTTAAATCATTTCTAACTACTTCTACCCATGTCCTTTTTGGTCGACCCCTAGCCTTCAAGCCCCTTCGACTTGCAACATATCACTCATGGGTGTTGGGTGTGGTGCTGTTGGTGGTTTTTATGCACATGACCAAACCATCTTAGTCTACTCTCTCACTTTATTACTTATTGGAGCTACTCCTAGGTTCTTTCAAATGACTTAATTTATGACCCTATCCTTTCCAGTTTTTCCACTCATCCATCTTAGCATACATTTCTGCCACACTCATTCTGGACATGTTTCTTGACTGCCCAACATTCTACTCCATACAACATAGCTGTCTTTACAAATGTTTTATAAAATTTTCCTTTAATCTAAGTGGTCTTCATCTATCACATAAGACTCTGGATGCACTTCTCCATTTCTCCAACTTTTCCTGCAAAACAAGACACTCTTCAAGCTCCCCCTCAAACAAAAGTCTCCTTAATTTTGGACATCAAACCAGCTGCTCCCAAGTCTCTCATAGCACGGGCTGAGGGTGATGTCATGTTCAGACAATCTGTACAACCTTGGACATAGATCGTTCAACTTACCAACCCCAAACCAATTATCTTCCCAGAACCTTATCCTAACACCATCCCTCAAATAAGAACCTGGTTAAGTTTTTGAGTTCCTGATTAAATCTCATAATTCCTTTCCACACACAAACCCCATAAGAAGAGCTAGCCTCCCTTGGTTCCCACCCAAACCTCACTACCCCATACTTACCCACCAACACTCTCCTCCAAAGTGAATGTCTTTCCTTCTCCGGCCCAAACCTCCAAAACCACTTCCCAAGTTTAGAACCATTAGTAACAAACCTCCAAGAGTGAAATTCCAGGAACTGTTATAATGAAGGAGAGCAAATAATTAACCATTAGAGCAGACAGTATCTTTTCGATTTGGGCCTTAGACTTAATATTATTGAAAATATATTTGATTTTAATCGTTTATGTTGAATAAAGAAGTATATTAAAGTAAGTTACCGAAAGAATCTCAAAAGTAGCCAAAATCATGCAATGGCTAAATTTATCCATTACCATGAGATTTTTAAGAATGGAAATTATGATCAGAATGCCAAAGCTCTGTTGGGTGATTTCAAAGTGATTTCTGAGGTTGATTAGAGGTCACAAGGTGATTTCAAAGTGTATTGCAAATCTCCGGCGGCATCAAACGAAATCCTAGGTTCGGGGTGTACTCCTAGGCTCGGGGTGAAGATGTTTCGAGGTAGATCTCTTCGGAAAGATCAGGGAGGTGGAAGGAGATGGGAAGCTCGGAATTGGTACAGGGGTGTAGAGAAGGGGGCGAGGAGACCGAACTTCTCCTACAGTAAGGCGGTTACGGCTGGAGTTTGGCTGGATTTTGGGCAATCTGAAATCAAGAAGGTGGAGGAAAGACTGATGATATTTACAGAGTCCCAAGGCGTAGAGGCCAGAAGGAGATTCCTGAGAGATTGCTTGGTGGGAAGATTTCAGTGGAGGGCAGGTTTTCAATAAGTGGAAAAATGGGTAAGTAGATGTTGGGAGGAGGTGGGAGGAGTGAAAGTAAATAAATTAGCCGATGACCTCTTCCTGTTCATATTCTCGTCGAGATCAACGGCGGCTTGGATCATTAAGCAGGGTCCATGGAAAATGGGGAGAAATCATCTCTTTCTGGACTGGTGGGGGGCAAGCACTGGCTGCTTCTATCCGGAATCAAGCGAAGATTCAAACCGTTCAAAAACCATCTGGGTGAGGGCGTATGGTCTTCTTCTGGTACTGTGGTGCCCGAGTGTGATCAAGAACATAGGGGATGCTTGCGATGGTTTCGTGGGAACCGATGACTCCCCTGAGAAGCTTTCAACCTATGAGTGGGTTCGAATGAAGGTGATAAGTTTCGGGAAGATTCCTGAAAAAGTGGAGGTTGTTGTGGAGGAGTCGGTATATAAAATCCACATTTGGCCTGAATCGCTGTTGACGGTCCGAAGTTGGATGCAGGAGATTCATGAGAACAGTCAGTTCCGATGGTAGGGAAGTAGCTTGGACATCTCTAACACGGTGGTCTTAGAAGACGAGGGAGAAAGCTCACTGCCGCAAGAGTTTCATAAAAGTTCGTTGAGTTTCAAACCGCCACTGAGTAGCTTGCCAGAGGTCGATGGAGGGGAAGAAGATGGTTGTGGGATCAATCTGATCCGTCCACAAGCAGTTCCTCTGGACGGCCAGGATCGTCCTTAGTTTGAGTGCTTTGAATCTTGCACGCCAGAGTTAATGAAGAGAAGAAGTGGGGGCTTTCCAAGGGTGGAGGATTTAAAAATTCTTATAAAGCAGTGCATACTTTTTAGGCTTGCTAGTTTTCTTCTAAGGTTTCTTCTTTGCTTTCCTCATTCCAAAAATTGAGGGGGTTTTCAATATAAAGGACTTCAGGCCCATTAGTCTCTTGCACAGTTTCTACAAAATCTTGGCTAAGGTTTTGGCTGAAAGAATGAAGTGTGTGTTAGGCAGTGTTATCTCTTTTAACCAAAGTGCTTTTGTCCCAGGTAGACAGATGGTTGACTCTATTCTCATTGCCAATGAACTGCTAGAGTCAAGAAGAAGAGAGGGAACCCCAGGTGTTCTGTGCAAACTAGATATTGAAAAAGCTTATGATCATGTTAACCGGCACTGCTTGGATCTGGTTTTGGAGAAAATGAATTTTGGGCAGCTTTGGAGAAACTGGATCAGAGTTTGTGTTAAGACTCCTAAGTTCTCCATCTTAGTTAACGGGCAATCAATGGGGTTTTTTGGAAGTTCAAGAGGTTCGAGGCAAGGTGACCCTCTCTCTCCCCTACTCTTCATTTGCGTCATGGAAATTTTATCTCTCTTTAGCAAGAAGGCTGCTGAGAATGGGCTTTGGGAGGGCTTTGCAATTGCTCTGGGAAAAGAAAAAGTTAATATTCTTTAATTTGCTGATGACACCTTATGCTTTGTTGATGCTTCTCCAAATCAACTGGAGGTGGTGCTTGGAATTTTGAGTTGGTTTGAGGTGGTGTCTAGCGTCAAGGTAAATTTGAGTAAATCTCAGATTATCCCTATAGGTCTTGTTACAAATCTAGAAGTTTGTGTAGAAGTTATGGCTTGTCAGACTGCCCATCTTCCGGTTCAAGTACTTGGGGCTCCCTCTTGGAGCTAAATATACTTCCTCACAGATTTGGAATCCAGTGGTTTAAAGAATGAAGAAGAAATTGGCTTCCTGGAAAGCTAAATACCTTTCTTTCGGGGGGAGAGTGATTTTGATTAAGAGTACTCTTTCTAATCTACCTACTTACTTCCTCTCCCTCTTTCCTATTTCTTCCAAAGTGGCTAACAGATTGGAGCAACTACAGAAAAATTTTCTTTGAAGAGGTTGGGAGGAGGAGAAGAAGGTTTATGTTGTAAACTGGGATCAAATGTGTCTTCTTAAGGAAGTTGGAGGGTTGGGAATAAGAAAATTGAAGAAATTCAATTCTGCCCTCCTGTGTAAATGGCTTTGGAGATTTGCAGATGAAAGAAATGCTTGGTGGAGAAAGCTGATTGTGGACAAATATGGAGTGGCGTGGGGTGATTGGAGATCCAATTCTCCTATTTCAAGAGGGATAAACTCCATTTGGACAGGTATAATGAAGAACTCTAATTTATTTGAGGAAGGAATCGGTTACAACTTGGGAAATGGGGAAAGAATTAAATTTTGGAAAGACTCTTGGTGTTCTAAAGTGTGTCTGAAAGGTGCCTTTCCTCTCATGTATCAAATTTCTGTAAATCAGGATTCCTCGGTAGCTGAGAATTTCAATGTGGATGGTAACTCATTCAGTTGGAACCTAACTTGTAGGAGGCGTCTCTTTGACTGGGAAATTCAAGAGTATGCAAATCTGTTGGGCCTACTCCATAACCAGAGGATTGACCCAAACATGGAGGATGCTTGGAGATGGAAAAGGGAAGCTGATGGCAGGTTCTCTGTAAAGTCTATGTTCAGTAAGTTGATAAGTTCAGGTCAGGGAAACTTTCCGGATAAGCAGATTTGGAACTCAATCAGTCATTCCAAAGTGAAGTTTTTGCTCTGGACAATGGCTTTAAATAAATGTCTACCCAAAGTTAATCTAGTGAAACGTGGCATACAGATTTCGGACATGTCATGTGGCTTGTGTGGTGGGGCAGTAGAAACTACTGAACATCTGGCCTTACATT